ATCCCATCGCAGATCGACGGCGGCCAACTTGATCTAAGTTTCTGGCGAGAGACCAAACGAATATAGTAGAAAGGAGCAAGAACCAGAATTTAAGGCCAGTAGGGTCGGAAATTGGCATCGTTTTGTGCCAAAAGTCATCACGGGCAACCTGAACAGCAGAGATATTCAGAGTGAGTGTCATCGGGATTGATGCAAGTGCTGCTCTCTTGAATTGAGGGTGCTTAAACGCCCGCAAGAATGACGAATCCTTCTGGAAATCTTGGGTGTTGCTCATCTTACCGAGAGTCGAATGAATTTGATGAAGGTCTCGGGCCGCCACAATTTCTGCTTTCCGGAAATGACGCAACGAGTCCAGGGCATCCTGCATCTTTCCGTTCAATATACACCAATAAGGCGACTCCGGTAACCTATTTGCCGCGATCAGACACAGCAAAGTGACCCCAGAAATGAGGGTGAAGAGAATTCCCACATCCCTCCCACCCATCGAGATTATATGTGGTAAAGCCGCCTCTTCGATCAGTAGAGAAATGTTCAGAGTGGTGATATAGCTGATCATAATAAGATTAGTTGAGTTCAAATTCAGATATCACTCACAGAATGAATACATACAGTTGCCAACTTGCTATTCTGGACCCCCGAGTGGAGGTGAAGCTTGTTTCGGCGAGGTAAAGTGGGCAGGTGCATCGTAGGATGCCCATTGCTGTACCAGCAGTAAAGTGGGCCGCAAAAAGAGTGTATGTCATTCTCCAGCCCGGCAAGACAACTCGCACCAGTGCAGATAAGAGGGCCAAGGAGGCCGCAGTCAAAATTGAGCCACGGCGACCGAAGCGTCCGTTCAGGGGTACGCTGATGATACAGCCGGACAACACACTCCCGAGCCATGGTGCACTTTCATCAGTCTTAGCGAGTCCGTGGGGTTGATATTTTAGCTGACCTACCAGTTAAGCCATAGAGAGAACGTTGAGTGGTAGGGCTGTTCCAGAAGTTGCCAGCTGGAGTATTGGAGGGATGCACTGTGCCGTTAGTATGACCAGACAGAATCGTATAAACAGCGGAATGTGGAGAGCGACCAACTAGAGCATTATTGCCATGTAGCACGTATATGAAGTCGACCCATCGGGCTTGAAGAGATTCACCTTCTCCCTTGATTTATCAGACAAAGCCGCAAGCTCCTCTGGAGTCACTCCCTCCACCCCTGCGCCGTTATCCGGATCATGGTAAACCAGGGCACCTTTTTTGATCAAAATCTGATCCTTGTCGAGTCCGTGTATCATGGCAAACTCGTCGGCTTCGCGGATTATATCAATGCCATTAAACTGCGGGCGCGTGTGGCGTCTGCGATTTCCAGTCAGCTTGACCTCGTGCCAATCTTCGTGCGGTCTCTACAAGTCATACCCAACCAAAGAGAAACTCCCGGGGTGAACATTGTTAGTCCCGTCCCGGTTGACTCGCTGAGATGCGGAAGATGGGAGCATAGTGGGAGGTTATTGCTGAGCTTAGAAGCCAGACCCATTACTCGAGGACAAATCATGATGGATGGGTATATTAATAGTCACCGTAGAGGTGTGCCCGGGTGCACTGCGTCTCCAGGACTGGCCCCTTGCATTTCACAGCTACGTCACGTCAGCCACACGCCAATGAGGGACTCCCATCGACCTCCCATCGAACCCAAGTGAGGCTGTGCAGCTGGGCAAGCTGGACAGGCCTTGGGTTCGTTTTGTTGAAGCAATCATGTGATGCTTCCTTTCCATACAAGGTAGGTACCTGTAGTTTCAGATCTACCGCTCTCTATCTCCTCTCAGGTCTATGTGTGTTTGCATAGTTTGCACTGTTTACGAAGTTTTCTCGGGTCCTGCCCTAGGGTAGGTACGCCCGCGGGCGGGCGCCCAAGGGCTATCGTCGGACAGTCAAAGCCCCCAAAGTAGCTGAATGATATCCTGGAATCAACCTTCGTCGATCTTTAGCGAGCCTTCTGCAGTATGTCCATGAACAGCGCCCAATTTGGATCTTGGAAGCTCTTCGCAGTACTCTGCAGTCTCGGGAAAATTACCATGGTGCCGGAAGAATACAATCCATTCGTGCAGGAGTGCGGGGAAGTGCTTCACGAATAAGACCTTTCGAGGCAGTCGATTTTGTGGATAACATAGTGCTGCAGCGCTCTATCCTCCGGTATCTTTACTGCGGAACAATGCTAGGCAAGTCATCACTGGGGTGCGAACAGCCAGTCATTGTGATATTGATCAGTAGTTTCATTTTCCCGAAAATTATGGTATAGGGCAGTGTATAGGTAACAGGACTATGTGTCCACGGGTTGCTACCACCGATTAGCATTCTCGCAGAGGAATTGAACGGTATTCCCCCGCACATCGCCGGTGATATCGCCGGTCCAGCATGCCCAAATAGCGGGAATTTAGCCGATCAATAGCTCACCCGCACCATGAAGGATCCCACCCGTGTAAGCTAGCGGGGATAAATCTCGATTACCACAGAGACAACAACTTCCAAGTTTCTCTTGGTTATGAACCATCCTTTGGAAACAAAGCGAATCTGCCTCATACTACCTAGGTAACGAGGATTAAATATTCGTGGAGCGTGGCACGATCTACGGTCTGAGGGTTGCGAAGATGAAATTTGAACGATTTTATTACCATGTACTCGGCAGTGCGATATTCGCTGTCTGCACCTCCGCTGCGCAAATTACGACCTCTTTGACTCGGAGTATGACTACAATGCAAGATCGTAAATATTGCAGTCTCCACTAACACCCGTTTCTACAGACGCACAAGAGCTCTTTGACTGGTCGATGTATGTCAATGATAACCGCTGGGATAACTCTTACAAGTACATTTGGTACTCGGACAAGGGACCCTGGTCGACGAGGTTCACAGCATGGTATACGGCAGGTCTTCTCTACCGTAACGAGGGGGGCGACTTGATCAACGCAAAAGCGGCCATCGAGAACATGTAGGCAGGCTCTCTTGCATCAATACGATCGCAAGCTGATCATGAATCAATAGCCTCGCTTGTCAGATGACGGAGAGCTATGAGTCTGCCTGGTACGGTACTTTCAAGCTTTCACCTGACGAGCCATATCCAACCCCGGATTCAGACTTGTATCCCCCAGAGATATATGTGAGTAAATTTTGTGAAGCAGTGAGATGCTTCATATAGCTGATCAGATCGCAACAGACAACGTATGACCCAAACTGGCGGGAGTTCATCGGCAGCCAGCTTGTCCAGATCGTTGAGGAGTTTTCTGACTTGCTTGGGGACTCCCTCGTGTCGCAGATCGAGGATAGCCTTGAAATTGCCGCTGTGGGCTCTATGCGACGCAATGGCTCGTACCCAGAAGGCGACAATCTGACGCCAGGGTATTCCAATCCCGCCATTATGCGCGCGTGGTATGTTTCTTGGATTGGTGAGCGGCGCAATAACCAGGTATGCAAGCACGCACCCATTTTCCGGGAACGCGACGAAGCTAACCCTGAAGACCCTCATCGACTATGCCAATGAGCAAGGCGAACTGGTCTTTGAGCTTTTCACATCAACAGAATCTAACGTGTTGTCCGAGTACAACGCACCGACCTACTATGGAATGGACACATGGGCTCTCGCAGGGGCCCGCAAGTACGGACCCAAGGAGTCCACCATGACCAAGAACTCAAAGTTTATGCTGAAGGAGCTGTGGGCAGACATTGCAGCTCACTATAACCCATATCTCGGCAATATGGTGGGACCGGTATGATCTTCGTCGAATCGCAATAGCTCACATCTGACTCGAGACGTGATATAGTATGACCGGGCTTACACGCGCGATATCGTCTCCAACTCGGCTGTCATCGATTATTTCTGGTGGGGACTTTTCGGATATGGCGTGGGCCCTCAACCCAACAAGCTCGAGGCAGACCTGTTATTTGATGTTGCACAGGGCGCGGCCCTTGCACTCATTATGGACATCGTGGCAGAAAACATCTCGGAGGAAGATCTGACTTGGCTAGGATCGAAAGGCCACTGGGATGGGGAACGGATGATCACCAAGAGGGTCCCGGACGCTCTTGGGCCCGATGCTGATGTGCGAGTCACGACCTCGTGGATGACTGCTCCGCTGATGATCGGCGCGCAGCAAGTGGCAGAGACTGTGAATCGTGGCAAGCAGTACGTTCCTGCTATTGTCCAGTGGGCTGGGGATCAGTCTCATACGCCTCATCCATACATGGCCTTGTTCAGCTTGTATCCGACTGCGTCGACGATTGATGCTGTTGCCGGACCGAACAGTCTTGACATTTCCTATCCCAACAGAACTCAAGAGGGAGCCGATATCTTCACCTTTGTTCTTGCGCAACTCCCACCAAGCTGGACACTTGTCGAAAAGAAGGTAATCCGGGGACTTGAAGATCTGCCGTGTCTTAATTTGAGTATCACCGCGGAGGGCCTGGAGAAGCAACCGGTCGTATATGGTGCTTCCGTGGGGGACAACCGTGTGTATAACATCTCGTATGTTGTTCCGTCCACATTCACGGGGGTTCCGACGGTCTCTTTCAAATTTGACTATTCCTGTTAAGGCTGGGAATTGAGAAGAGACTGGGTTCCATGCGTTAGGAGAGGTGGAAGAGAGAAAGACAGTAAATAGGGAGAGGACTGAGCCCACAGATGCAACAGGAGAAAGGAAGAGGAAAACAAGCGAAGCTCAATTTTCACTATTGGCATAGACTACCTCACAACACATCATGAAAGACCTACCTGAGCCCAGCAATCTCCTTCAAACACACAAGTTGTAAATCGAAATCTTACATTCTGCCAATACAACTCCACTCGCTTTCCAGGTATCGGCATTCTCAGCGACACTGATCTGGACTTTAGCCAGGATCTATGCCCTTCATTACCCCACCTGTATAGTACTTGCGGCAAAAGGGGACGCCCCCGCCGGAGCTTTCAGTGCCATTTACCCCTTGCACCCCTCTTTCTCACTTTAGGTTCTCTACAGCCGGAAGTTACTGACGATGTCGTTTCCCGCCGACTTACCAGATTGGAATAATCTCAGTGTGATCCACAAGGGCACACTCCCACCCCGAGCACACTTTTACCAATATGTCTCCAAGGAAAAGGCCTTGTCACTTGATCGAAACAACAGTGAATACCTGTCGCTCAACGGCACTTGGAAGTTCCGCCACGATGAGTCTCCGCTGGAGGCACCCGAGTGGACATCCGCTGATCCAGTCACTTGGGATGACATCCAAGTCCCAGGAATGTGGCAGCTCCAAGGATATTCGCATCCGACCTACACCAACGTCAATTACCCATTCCATGTGAACCCTCCCCAAGTCCCAATTCTCAACGAGACTGGATCCTATTGGCGAGAGTTCACCACCCCCTCCCAGTGGAAAGACGACCAGATCCGCCTGAGATTCGAAGGCGTTGATAGCGCTTTCCACCTGTGGATCAATGGAGAGGAGGTCGGCTACTCCCAAGGCTCTCGCAACCCGGCGGAGTTTGACATCAGCACATTTCTCCGGCCTGCTGGCTCTGTGAACACGATCGCTGTTAGGGTGTATGAGTTTTGCGATGGATCATATATCGAACGACAGGATCAATGGCTTTTGAGCGGCATTTTCAGGGATGTCGGTCTTCTGGCGTTTCCGCGAAACGCAGTGACCAACTTCAACGCTGTTGCAACTCTCAGCGAAGATCTCTCGGTCGGAACCCTCACAACAAGTGTTGACGTACAAGGCAAACATGGCAGCGTGGAAGTTCAATTGTATACCCCGGCCGGGGAACTCATGTACTGTTCAACCTCTCAATCCGCCGAATGCACCATACATGTATCCGGACCTGACCTGCAACTATGGTCCGCCGAGAACCCTGTCCTTTACACGCTCCTGATCACCTTCAATGGCCGAACCATTCCTCAGCGTATCGGGTTCAGGCGAATTGAGATGAAGAACTCAAACTTCCTGGTCAACGGCAAGCCGATTATCCTCTATGGCGTCAATCGACACGAGCACCATCATCTCCACGGTCGCGCTGTCCCATACGAAAGCATGCGCGCCGACCTAGTGATGATGAAACGACACAATATCAACGCTCTACGATGCTCCCACCAGCCGAACAATCCCCGTCTCTACGAAGTCTGCGACGAGCTCGGACTATACGTCATGGCCGAGGCCGATCTCGAGGCTCACGGATTCGACCCCGTCGAACGATTGAACATTCCAAGCCAGAATCTCATGACCGAATACGAGATCCAAGAAGCATCCTATAAATTGGCGAAGAAGTGGACTTCCGATAACCCGGAATGGAAGGATGCCTACCTGGACAGGGCAATCCAGCTAGTTGAGCGTTTCAAGAACTTCCCCTGCATCATAATGTGGTCTCTTGGAAATGAAGCGTTCTATGGCCAGAACCACGTCAGTATGTACGAGTGGATCAAGAAAGCCGATCCGACGCGTCTGGTCCACTATGAGGGTGATCGCGAGGCCTTCAGTGCAGATCTGTACTCCACTATGTACTGGACTCCCGATGCAATAAAGAAGCATGTTGCCGAGAAAACTGACAAGCCACTCATCCAGTGCGAATATGGACATGCCAGTAAGTCTCCATTTCACCCCCTTTAAATTCCATTGGAACCCGGACTCAGCCGTTATTCTAGTGGGCAATGGGCCAGGAGGCTTGACGGAATATATTGAAGCCTACCGCACAGAGCGGTTGCTGCAGGGTGGCTTTATTTGGGAATGGTGCAACCACGGTCTGTTGAAGAGAGATGGTGATGTTTCCTACTATGCATACGGCGGTGATTTTGGCGATGAGCCAAACGATGCGGACTTCATTCTTGACGGGCTGGTATTTTCTGACCATACGCCGAGTCCCGGACTGATTGGTTACAAAAAGGTGATTGAGCCAGTGTCAGTTTCCTGGGATTTGGGCCGTCTGAAAGTGGTCAATCATTATGACTTCAGCACACTGGACCATCTTTCAGTTTCGTGGCATCTTGTTGGTGAATCTGGAAGCACAAAGCCACAAGAATGGGACATCCCAAGGATTGAGCCCGGCGAAACCAAATTACTGGAAATACCTGGTGCTCTCCGGGGTCAGATCAAGCAAGCATCCGGTATGGAGCGAACATGGCTCACTGTCAACTTCCATCTCAAGGATGACCGAGCTTGGGCACCGATTGGACATGAGATCGCCTGGACACAATTACCTTTACACAAGACGGAGGCTTTCTCCATCCAAGCCCCGTTTAGCTTGCCATTGACGAACATGTCAGTGCGCGAGCGACCAGGTCGACTCTATATCACGTCCAATAAATCCGGGTCTCAATTCACCTATGATCTTATCAGAGGTAATCTCTCCTGGTCCACCAACGCAGGAAAGATCTTCCACAGTGGACCCCTGCTAGGGATATACCGCGCACTGACTCAAAATGATCTCGGCATGGAAGGGCCCAGCGTGGAGTGGAGCCGCTTCCGAGTGAAAAGCACACGCATGTTGATAGACTCGGCGACTTGGCATATCAACGACGGAGCCGTTTCAATTAGCATCAAAGTGAGAGTAGCACCTACCGTGCTAGCATGGGCACTAGAAGCTACTCTCGACTACACAATCACCGATTCCTCGATCCAGCTTCGAGTCAAGGGGGACTTCAGCGGGACGCATCCAAAATACATCCCTCGAATAGGTCTGACACTCCGACTGCCGCGTCATTTCGACGCCGCGACATGGTTCGGTAGAGGTCCTGGAGAGTCATATCGAGACACGAAGACCGCCTCTCGCTTCGGCACCTACACAGCCTCCATTGCCGATGGGCTCGAGACACCATACGAGTGGCCTCAGGAAAATGGCAATCGCGTAGATACGCGGTGGGCGCGCGTGCATTCATCTGAAGCTGTCTCATCCTCAGCTCACGTGGAAGCACAGGTACCGGTTCCGCAAATTGAGGTCAAGATGGACGCACCATTTAGCTTCTCCTTGCGTAAGTATGCAATGGCTGAGCTGGATCGTGCAAAACATCCACATGAGCTTTCGGAATTGGAGGGTGAGACTGAGCTCACTGTTGATTATCTTCATCATGGAATTGGTACTGCGAGTTGTGGTCCCGGGCCTTTCGAAGGACACAGGTTGGAGACTGGACCGTTTGAATTCACGACTCTATTCAGTCTTGTTGACTGATTGGCTGCTTGGTGATGGAACATGTTAGCGTGCGTTAGCCCTATTTTGCTAGCTCTCGAGGTTTGGGATGCACAACTCCTACGGAGTACTCCGTTCCTACTGCATGGCATTCTAGGTCTTTGTTTTGGGCTTTCCTGTTCCGCTTTCGGCTCATGCACAATGGACGCGGCTTATTTTCGACCGCTCGGAAAAATCATCCCTGTCAATTATTTATAGGTTGTCGTCTGACATGTCGACTTGGGAAACAATATATTCAAGACAAGACTCCGTTAGGGTATGTGCTCTTTACCAACGCTCTGGTAGCTTCATCCAGGCGATTGAGCCCTGGTCTGCGGAGTACTCCGTACTTTAGAATAATCATGGATTGAGCCACCTTCACGCAAAGCACAGGTTTCTCGCGGTATAATACCTAGTACATCGTGCACGGAACTTGATATGGGTCCAGCAACGAAAACATTTTGGTGCAAATTGTCGCAGTGTGCATCGGTGTCTTTGCGAACTTGGAAGGCAACCGGCTCGTAGTCTCCATCGTGGCTGTCTTGACGTCTCAGATAATTAAATAGAAAGCGCCAAACACAGTCAACACAAATTCAATAGCTCATCCCTGAGGTCGGCAGCTGCACGGCTGATCGTCATTTGAATCCAGCCAATGACTGAGCCCAATTGACCGATCTGAGTGGGTCAATTAAAGGCAGGCCGATTCGAAGAACCTGAAATCTTGCCGATCACTCTTGCGATACGGTTAGTGCTGTCAATCATCACTTCTCTAGGCAACTAGTGGATCGCAAAACATCCGGCACTCGGACACCCTCCACAATAAGATTGTTTAGTCTGTCGATATTAAATATGAATAGGGTCCAGGTCCCCTCTGTGATTCCGTCAAACCTCCTACCTTCAGTCTTTCCTTAATCAAATTCCAAGGTTCCTATCCACTCCTTAATTTTCACCATGTACGCTCCCAGCTTCCTCGTCCTCGCTCTGAGCGCCCTGACTGCCGCGAGCCCTATGTCGGCACCCACTTCCTCCTCTGTCTCCCCCTCCCTCCTCTCCCTGACGGCCTACTGCCCCGACAAGTACTTCGTCAACCCTCAGTGCTGCTCCGTCAACGCCGCTCTCGCTGCCTTCGACTGCAACATTCCTCGCGGTGGAGCCTCCGCCTCCAGCCTCGAGGACTTCAAGAGCACCTGTGCTGCTGAGAAGAAGACCGCTCTGTGCTGTCTGATTCCCCTGGTATGTGTTACATCATCGAATATGAATTTGCAACAGCTAACATAGTTCTTAGGGTCAATCCGACCTTGTCTGCCAGGAGCCCCAGAACCTGTAAGGGATTTGCACCCGCCTGTCCTGTTCACGACCTCGAAATGTCCGACAACTCCAATTCTTCTTTCATCCTCCCGTGGTTTCCAGCAGTATATACCAGTGGAGAACAGCAAATACCCCAGACTGGGAGGGAAATACAATGGACATACTCCGTAGTAACATACCAAATGCATAAACCTGACCAAGTCAACTTGTCTCTGTCCCATATTTAATGACCCGAATCTGTGAACCTACACATCTTAAGTGACAATTGACTCTGCCGCTGCCCAACATTTGAAGGATACTACCATTTCCTTCCCTCCCAACATCACGGCGGGTAGTAATGGCCAATGAGGGAGAAAGAAAAAAAAAATCAAAAAAGAAACTCCGATAGGGGGAATCGAACCCCCGGCTGTCGTGTGAGAGACGACGATGTTAGCCACTACACCATATCGGATGTTGGATATATGTGTCCCTAAATAGCCTCTTCGTATTCGTGGGAATGACGTTAGCCTGTTTGGCGTCATCCGTCTATGTGCGTACCATTGATGTAATCGGACACAAATTTATCGCCTTAAATTCTCTTGATGCTTGTTCTGCTTCTAACTCCAGATATACCACTTAAAATTTGATCGCTGTATCACACCCCAAAATGACGGGACATGAAGACTGTGATGAGTTGGATGACTTGGGTCGTGGCTTCCTCCAGAGTCTACACCCAGTGATTGAAACATATACTGTTGACAGCGAATCCCAGTTTTTGAACATAGTCATTTCCAAGTCTCAAGCCGATGATACACCAAGCAACGTCCTGCTCTTCCACACAAGCGAGGAAATCATTCATAATATTCTTGATTTCAAAAATTCCTTTTGGAAATATCTTTCGGCCGTTGACCTCAACGGCAAATTGATCTTGACGAAGATGCCTACGATCCCGCATGGTACCCTTGGCGGTGAACTCGATAATATCATTTGCGAAGTCCTGCGACCGATGGGTCTCAACCGAGCCCTGAAAACATATCCAGAAACTCGAGTCCATGGTGATGGGGAACGCCGTTATAAGTTTCCGGATTTTGGCTGGGGACCGAAACACCGCCCCCGGGACCAACCCGATGAACCATCGGTAGTACTCGAAACCGCCTACACGGAAAATGACATAAAACTCCAACCTGATATTCGATTTTGGTTGACCCCTGATAATGGCAATGCGAATGTTTGTCTCACTGCCAAAATAGACAAGGAAAATTCGGAAATTCGATTAGAGCAATGGCACCGTTTTCACGGAAGGATTCGTCGGAAACAGGTGATTTCAATCACCATAGACAGCAACAACGAGTTAGCTGTCAGTGGAGATAATCCACTAAACATCTCATTCAGTGATCTTTTCCGACGTGAGCCAAGTCGACCCGGAGAAACGAGCGTTTCAATTCCAGACAATGAGTTGACAGAACTCGCCAGGACTGTTTGGGACAATTATGACATTTAGATGTTCATTCCCTTTTGTTGCTCCTGTTTCTTTTGATTGCTATTATTAAACTGAGTGCTAAGAAAAACTTGCATGTATTCTTAATCAGTCTGGATCGGATTTCTAATGAATATCTTGACAACCCTCAATGCTGATCACAGAGCGGGATCCAATCATTACTGGAACAGGATTTCTTCTCTTGCGTTCTTGAGTTACTTGCGTCAATGAACCTAACCTAGCTATCTAGGGTGAATTGACTAAGATGGAAATTGAGAATAGCACCAAGATCCAGCATGTCCAGTTTCAAAGAAGCGACAAGTGCTTCAAAGGGAATTGCCAAAGGTAATCCCACCAAGATGTGGTTTGGGGAAAAAGCGAGATAGAAGGTTGCGCCTTTTCTTGAGGCTTGCTCTCGTACCCGAAGCCCGTGGTATTCACGGCAACGATCTTCCCACCCTCGATTATCGTCCCATTGACAGGGAAAAGGAGCGAGCCTCCCGTAGCAACATACAAAGTCTCAGTATCGCCCGGGAGCGTGCCGAATCCCGGCGCTACAGACCCAGCGATCGTCATTTCAGTCGGTGATCCGGCAACGAACGTCGCACTTCCATCCGGAGTGATCGCCACCAGTCTGTTATCTGCATTCGTCGCACCCCAGATTGTATCACTCTCGCCGGGGCCAAGACAAATGGAATCCAAATAAATGGTCTGCAGCCTCTTGACCAACTCAATCTTCGAGCCTGGGACAGCATATCCATCTTTGGTAATAGCGACCCGGTACACGCTTGCCACATAGCTGTTGGTCCAGTACAGATACCCATTATGGATGCGCAGATTGTTAATTCCGAACGGTGTCACCGTCCACGAGGGATGGCCCATTGATGCCTCGTCCTTGATTGCGATCTCGTATTCGCCCGTCACGGTATCAACCTTGTACACCAAACCGAGGAGCGAGTCGCTGACTAGCACAGTCGAGGGCGAATCAGGGAGTGCTTGAATGCCAGTCATCAGACCAGCGTCTGGCATTGGGACAGCATATCGGATGGATGCTTTCCCGCCCTTAGCCTGAGGACGAAGATCAATCTCATAAACGCCAAACGTGCCGAATATCCCCATGCCAATACTGCTCTGGTTGCCGCCAAGAAAAACTAGAACACCGGGCTCGGTCTCCGTGATGGATGTCACGACATTGATCTCGTCGAATGAGTGAACGAGGGATGCCGTGGGCGCGTCTGTATTTGCGCCTGAGACGCTGTAGATCGAGGCATCGGGCCAGACGGTGGTGACATAGATATCGCCGTTCGGTCGCACGTACAGACTGTTGAGATATGTGGGGATCGGGAATTGATGAACAAGCTTAACGGGTAGCGGAAGCTCGGCAGCTTGGGAAATCGTGGTAATTGCGAGCAGGGCCACGGGGACCCATGAGCTGGTGGGTCGCATTGTGAGTTGATGTGATGTCGCGATGAAGTCTAATGCGACGTTCGAAGATATTGTCTTCCAAATTTGCGGAAAACCTACTTCTCTTGGGTCTTCTAACTCTTTTTTTGTTTTCTCTTTCTGACATCTTGAGTTCGGCTGCATACATCGCCGAATTTCCAAAACGGGAACTCTCCGAACAAGGCTGATTTCGACGAACTCTCCGAGGAAGATTAACTGGGCAATTCGCAGACATCATTCTATCTAGACTTCCCGAGGGAATCGATTTTGGAATTTATCCGATTGGATTTGAGGGCTAAAATGTTTTGCGACGTTCACAAACACATTCTGGCAAGGCCCCGCATACAGAACAGCCCACGACTCACAAAACATCGCACTATTTCACAACCTTGGAAGTGATACTTGGGTCAACAAGACAACATCGATGCTTCCAGGAGTGCTCGCAAATTCGAGCATTAGAACATGAATACCCGGTCCTTCTTTCTTCTTGCCTTTGCAGCGTGCATATCGAGAATAAAGGCCAACTCGGTCAACGTGACACCTCGAATGAAATGCGATACACAGCTTTGCGAGAATACACCAACAACGCGAGGATGCTGGGGCGCTTATGATCTCGAAACAAACTATTACAAGACGGCACCCGACACTGGAAAAACGGTGGAAGTCTGGCTATCCGTCCAAGAGTCTCTTTGCAACCAAGATGGATACGAGCGCCCTTGCATGACCTTCAACGGAACAATGCCAGGGCCACCAATTGTCGCAGATTGGGGTGATAGGTTAAAGGTCCACGTCACGAACAACCTCAAGTCCAACGGCACATCAGTACACTGGCATGGTGTCCATCTGCGAAACAACAATCAATGGGACGGAGTACCTGGCGTGACTCAATGTCCGATCACACCGGGAGAAAGCCTGACTTATGATTTCAAAGTCACGCAATATGGAACCAGCTGGTATCACAGTCATTTTTCGCTTCAATCATCGGAAGGCCTTTTTGGCCCACTCATCTTCAACGGTCCTGCAAGTGCGAACTACGATGAGGATCTTGGTGCGCTTTTCCTTCAAGACTGGGCGCATATCCCGACTTTTGTGGAGTGGGAGGCCAAGCAGAAGTTTGGTATCACAGCTGCGCAGAGTACGACCCTCATCAACGGCACGAATACATTCAACTGTACAGCGGAGCCACATGAAAACTGTGTCGGAGGCGGAAAGAAATTTGAGATGGTATTTCAGCAAGGGAAAAAATACCGCATCCGGTTGATCAACGTTGCTCTCGATAGCCAGTTCCAGTTCAGCATCGATGGTCACAGTTTGACTGCCATCGCAAATGATTTTGTGCCCATCAAGCCATATCTTGCAGACAGTATCATCGTGAACGTGGGTCAGAGGTACGATGTTATTGTTGAGGCGAACGCCCCTCCAGGTGACTACTGGCTTCGCGGCGGATGGGTTCAATCCTGCCAGGGTGTCGCGAATGATCATCCAGAATCTGCGACTGGAATTGTGCGCTACAACGCCCAGAGCAAGAGGGATCCTACTAGCATCAGCACTCTCACTGGTCCGGCAACCTGTCTCGACGAGCCTCAGGCAAACCTGGTGCCGTACTTGGAAGTCGACGTTGGGAGCATCACCGACACGACCGTGGAGGATATCAATGTCCGTTTGACAAATGCTGCTTTGTTCCAATGGACCATCAACAGCAGTAGTCTTGTTCTCGACTGGGGAAGGCCTACCGTTCAACAAATTTATGACAAGGAGCGAATCTTCCCTACCCCCTACAATGTCGTCGAAGTGAAGGTAAGTCATTGTCCGCTAGCTGCTGTACCATGCAGTGATTTCTAACTTTTTCAAAAAGAAAGAGAAGGAGGAAAAAGAAGAATGGGCTGTGCTGGTGATCGAAAATAAAGCAGCAGCTTTCTTCGGCGGGTCAGTCACAGTCACCTAATTCTGAACAGGAAAATCGAAGACTGACACCAATTTGTAGTATCGCTCACCCAATTCATTTCCACGGCCATGACTTCTGGATCCTGGCTCAGGAAAGTCACCCCTGGGATGGAACCTCGGCTTCGTTCCAAACAAAGAACCCGGTTCGTCGGGATACAGCAGTGCTGCCAGCGCACGGCTACCTTGCTCTAGCATTCGAGCTCGATAACCCCGGTGCGTGGCTGGTTCATTGTCATATTGCTTGGCATGCGAGTATGGGACTTGCACTGGAGTTTGTGGAAAGTGAAAATTCAATCACGACTAGTATGGGCGACTGGAAAACTTTGGACGATACTTGTAAGTCATGGTCGGCTTGGTCAAGAGGGGCCCCATATGGGCAAGGTGATTCGGGTATTTGAGGTGCAGGGTGTCAAGGTGGTTGACCAAGCTTATCAAGCTTGCAAGATTTTCTGTCAAAATTATTTGGTAACCTGATCACTTTAAAGTGCAATTAGACATTTTCAAGCACAGCTGAAATAGTCCTATGTGACAATTCAATCTGCGGTGGTAAAGTGCGTAGAACTACATGCTCTTTGCGGCTGTGATTTTGCCTAGGTAGACCCAAGCCCAGAAAGCCCAGAAAGCCCAGAAAGCCCAGTACTGGGCTGGGCTTTGGGCCGGTCCTCGGGCCCAGTAGTGGGCTCTGGGCTCTTCCCGGGGCCAATTGGGCCCCAAACATTGCAAACATGCCAACCCTTGGCATCTTCCGATGTAAATAATACAGATCTTGGCGGTATTTGTGAGTATTGATGTACTATATCTTTGGGGAAAAAACTTTGAATCATCCTAAGAGGAGCTTATTTATAGTAGTGATGGCGATGATAATGAAGAGGAGAGAGAGAAAATAAAATGGAGAAGCTCCAGATTTCAGGCCCAATCCGGCCCAATGCGGAAGCCCAGTTTCAAATCTTTCGTGGAAGGTTGCGAATTTGCTGCGTACAACTATGTTGGATAAAGCTAACTACCTAAGGCAATGGTACGCTCCAGCATTCAACCTGTCCGACCGTCCTTTCCTCGTTTACAGAAGGCTGTCCAAGAATGTAAAGATTCTGCAACTCTGCATACTTGCCGCTGACTTGGATAATCAAACGGGTGTTTTGGGTGGCTGTAGAGCCAATTCCCATTTCCTATTATGTGTGAGAAGTACATTGCCAAAATATTTCATCGTAAAACTCACTTCAATGTAGAACGGAGATCCGTCGTCTGCATGCCCATATGCGTAAATGTACGGAAGCTGGGTGGTGATTCCATTGTTTGTGACAACCACCGGAGCCGCGACTCCTCCGTCAATGGTGGCGTTGAAGCCCGGGCCATAGATGGTGCCACCAGTGATGGGCTCGACAATCCGCTTTCCACCTTCGAGTAGTGGGATTGGAGCAAGAGCCTTTCCCAGGTTCACGGTTGCACTAAAGAGATAGGTGGATGTGAGTGGGCCGACGCCGGCCCCCGGAGTTGAGGTTGTAATGGTCATGTTGGTTGGATTTCTTTGTGAACAGATTGTGGGCATCAGATGACCGCCCGATCGTTGAGATCCCTTTGATCTTTGTATTACGGCTGATCGGAATAAAAAACAAACGGCCCGACTGCTGGTGCTTTCCGGAGATATTCGGATTTAGGGCTTCCTAGAGGGGGGGCGAGTTTCGGAGGGTGCGAGCCTCCTCCGATGGCCCGCGGGCCCCCACTCCGATGGCATGCAGCCCCCGTAGGGCGGCATCCCGCATTAGGAAATTGGAGTATAAGAGCCTCCGAATGTATTCGGGAGATTGAAGTGCCCAGCATTGTACCTTCGGCGAGAAAACCGACTAAAATCCGAAATATACATTCCTGGAAAAGTACGCATCTAGCCGGGTCTTTTTTGCTCTCGCCCACGCTTCCCACTCTCTCTCTCTCTCGCTCAATCCCATGCCTCCTCCAATTCGCCTACCCCAACGTGCTCCGGTCCCACCTGTGGCCTTCACGCCAAGAAGTGTCAGGGCTTGCTCATCTTTGAGATCTTCAAGCTCAGCATCTCGGCCGTTGGGCTCTTCAAATCTTCTCAACTCTCCTTCCAAGTACATCCCACCAACTCCCCGTCATTTACAGATCGGGACCATGTCAACTATGGAAGCTACCAACGGTCATAGCAAGGCCTGCTGCAACGTTCCGCCTGTTGTCAGCTCTGACTATGTGGCTAAGGGCTCGTACAGCGAGCTCGGAGGATTGAAGACTTGTCAGTCTCCCCCCAGACTCAGTCCTTTGTTTCTTCTAGGCTAAATGGACTTGAAAACAGATGCCACCGGACCCGAGAACGCCATAAAGGGAATCGTCATCATTTCCGACATCTTCGGATACTCCGACCAGGCCCTACAGGGTGCCGATATCCTCGCGACCAGCCATCGTCAGCAGCATAAGGCCTTCATTCCGGACTGGTTTGATGGCAGTCCCTGCCCCTCGGAATGGTGAGATACTACAGACACCGTGTCGGAAAGCACCCACTGACGCATTCAATCAAGGTTCCCACCCGATACCGAGCAAAAGCAAAAAGATCTAGGTGAATGGTTTGGTAAAAACATGCCCCAGGGTCCTGCCGCTGCTTTGCCCGAGTATGTTGCGGCCCTCAAGGCTGCCAACCCATCAATTGAGTCGTGGGCTCTTGTCGGCGTGAGTGCTTGGGTGCAATCAATCTGTCCCAATATCTGTATCACTAACATGTCGAACAGTTCTGCTGGGGTGGTAAAGTTGCCGAAATCATCACCTCCGGAGAAAGCCCGTTCGCAATTGCTGCTACCTGCCACCCGGCTATGATCGATCCATCTGGAGCAGAAGGAATCTCGGTTCCATACATGCTTCTGGCATCTGGCGAAGACCCTGCTGAAGACGTGAAGAAGTTTGAGAGCAACTTGAAGGTACCGCATCATGTGGAAACCTTTGCAGACCAGGTCCATGGTTGGATGGCGGCTCGGGCTGATTTGTCGGACTCGCATATTCGTGACGAGTATGCCCGTGGATACAAGGCCGTTTTGGACTTTTTCGAGAAGCACTGGCTTTGATCTTCATTTTCGCGATTTTCCCGATCTTGCGCATAGCTAAGAATAGCTAGAAGATTTCAATTCACTCCGCTCTACCAGGCTACCTATTTGCAAAGGCTCGAAGGAACAAATTTCTTAGCAATTTTCAGCAGTGAGGAGACATGGTACGGGGAATTACACGAGTGTCCCAAAGATAGCTTCGGCCAAATCTGACGGAGCCAGGCTGTTGCTGAGACCCAAGCTCGGGAATGACTACTCCAATGAATGTAATAGTAGCCTGCTATCTTTAGAGCCTGTCTCTCGGAACATTTCAAGAAGCCCATCAATATGAGCACTTACTACCTAGGTAGTTCCTCCAGGGCTATCCAAGGATGTCTGGTACAGAAAACGGCATTGCACAGGAAAAACCTGAAAGCGTCATAATTACAGCGAACTCCAATTACCAATTTGAGGGCAGCGATACCTCTATGGATACCTTTTCAACTAAGAAAAAGTATACTCCACGTATAAAAACAGGTAGGCGACCGCAATCTTGAACACCTCCCACAGGAGCCCGAGGCCCGTCAGCCCAATCATACGGTTTAGTAACAGGAATCTTCTCGCGTAGAATCTTGCCTCGCAATCCCTCTGCTCCTGCGTAATCTCACCATGCCATACTCTATTCATCTGAAGACAATGGCGTGCTGCCTGCTCAGAAGCCATTCCTAGATGCGACCGAAATCCGGTGTAGGCATCTCCGACAAGTACGAGTCTGCCGTCATAGAAGCTCGCAGCAGCCGCCTCCGCCTCTCCCACTTTCGTCACGAACGGTCGAGGTGTCTTGGTCACAATCTCAGCAAGGGGTGTCGTCATCTGGGAAACATATCGAGCGATCTGTTCCGACCAAATTTTCGGCTTGATCTTCCCGTGTGGCACTGTGTTAGGGTGAAGCTTCCCATCGACATCGGTGAAAATGGTATCCATTTCTGCAGAGTTCTCAGGAACAACAAAATACCAGACCCAGTTCACAAGTCGGTTTCCGGGCTCGACGTTACCGGCTTCGGTTGGGATGAGATAGCTGTTCACGATTAGCCAAGAAGAATGCAGGCATATCGGCAAAGCGGATATTGTACCTGATGAAGTATGTGCCCTTCAAAAATGTAAAGTTGAGCCGATTCGAGAAGTACTCCACCGTCGCCTTTGACAACAGCCGCTCGGGGACGGTTCCACGCCACGCAAGATACCCGGCATACTCCTTTCGCGTCGGAACTTGCAAGATCTTCCGAATCGTGGAGTGTACTCCATCGGCAGCGATGACAATGCTTGCACTGACAGTACCACTTTCCCCAGTGACAGAGTCGACATAGCTGACTGTCATCACGTCTTTCTCCGAGTTATAGCTCACCCCTGTCGCCTTCTTGCCTGCGTGGTATACCACAGCACCATCCGTAGGTCTTGGGCTCGGTGGCTGAGGGACAGTTTCAGATGCCATTCCATCGAAGTTGGCCCGGAGGATCAAATAAAGACACCCCCAGTTGCTCATATTGTGCTTCCAATTAACACTGGCAATGCGAGGCCATTTGCTCGATGAAGCACTGAGATAGCGCGCAGGAATGGCTGCTGGTCTACCGGTTGCATCATACTGCTGAAGAAGTTTGACGACGGTAGGACCGATTGAAACTCCCGACTCGTGGCTGTGACGGTCACTCGAAGGATCTTGCTCCAATACGGTGACTTGGGCACCCTGGCGTTTCAATTGGAGGCCCTGAAGCAGGCCAGCGACAGACCCTCCGATCTGAGATCTGTTAGAAAAATACGACGCGCTTGAAAAAGGATGTAGAATGACACTTGCAATGATGGCGGACTGAGGAACTGGCATGATGTGTAATGGACTCTAGATGCCCAGGTTTTCCCTCCTTCTCAGGGCCCTGTGGCCGTCTAATGTATCATTGCACCTCTTCTCACTTGTTCAAATTGCTTACATGTCGGATTCCAATAGTAAGAGAAGTACTGACGTCGATATCTAGAGCGTCCTAGTAATTCCGAGCAGTCTCATATTCCCAACTAGGCACCGAGATCGGAGGGAACTACCTGGGGGGGGGGGAATTGAACTCCGAATTGCAGAACGTCGGAACTTTATCATCTCGATTGGGAACACCGAAATATCGGTTGCAAAAATTTTTGCGCGACGAAACCTCGAATCTACCTAGGTACACGAATCAATGCCCACTGCGATATATTGCAGTGGGCGGGGTCTTCAAATCATTCTGTATACCAAAATCAGGTTGTATCAACAATGAGAAGTGAGAAGTGAGAAGTGAGAAAGGAGTGAAGAATTAAGCTGAGACCATCTAGGTATGGAAGGAGACCTGAGCTACCAAACACGAATAATCCAGATTCTTTTGTTCCAAGGTTTCTATTGGGGTGATCGTAGGGTCTACGACTGAGTCTTAATCTAGGAGCTTTGATGAAGCAGATTTCAAGAGCATGAGTGCTTCGAAAGTTCTTTATCTTTGAATTCATCCAGTTATCTGCTAGGTGCCAGTAGCCCATCCAAGAGGTCATTCACGTCTTCCACCTTACCACGCAAAGTCCGTTCATGCTCCCTTAACTTCTTTTGTAACCTTCCATTCAGTAATGGGGCCAACACTCCCTCTTCCTCATAATGAATGCTTTCTGTTGCTGGAGTATTGTCTCCCTGGGGCCTTTCCATATGCAAAGCACTCCTGACAGTTGCAGGTAGCCCGAGCGCTTTCTCGGCGTTGCCCAGCGAATCAAGAAGTATGACCATGGCTTTTCTGATGCGCATCGCCGGCTCCCACCCAACCGATATGGATTGCAGCTGGCCCAGCCGTAAACCCCGGTACGCGTCCATCTTGTTCTCCATCGAATAGGAGGATCGACCCAAGCCCCATGCCGAGAAGGGAGTCGACAGCTGTGACAAGTGCGTATAAAGGTATTTGAAAATCGTCAAATAGATGCGCGTGAGGAGGATGTAGCAGGAGAGACACAGTAGTCGCGTTGGCATGTCAATGTCAGATGTATGATCGAAGGTGTAGACGCGACCCTGATTGACGAGGAGGGCATGGAAGCGCTGAGAAAAGTACAACGCATCGCCTATGGGGTAGTTGTCTAACGTGCTGCCGGCAAGTTTTGCTAGTTCTTTTTCGTAGTGTGACAGTTTCCCCAGCAGGCTGCAGAGATCAACCAGAAGACTGGGCCTTTCCTCTTCCAGAACCCCCATATCCATGATCGCATTTGCCTCGAATTCTAGGTCCATCTGAAGCGATGAAGTATAGGGCGGTGAAACGGGCATTTGATCAACATGGAGAAACTCGGCCAGGTCTGATTGGAAGCTCGCATCTCCCTGCATTTCCATTGTTTCTTTCGGCTCGAAGACATCGCACTCCTCCGTGTGACTAGGCGGTTCGTGCACATGTGCGGCCGTATTTATAAGAGGCTGCAGCGCCGGATCTATGAACATAGTGTATTCATTGCTCCAGAGGCTGTCTAAACAAGCCTCCGACTCTAATCTCCGGGGACTTTCGTTGGTCGCTGTTGGTTCCGGGCAAATTTTCTTGACAGATGAAGGTTCCGGGAACGATGAGTTTGAAAGTGTGAAGGTGTTCATCCCAGGTAACAACTTCGCCGAGGGACGGTTTTCTCTTCGTGGGTCGTGAAGTTCTGATCGTTTCCCCGAGCCAGGGGGTTTCCCGGTTTGGAGTCGTCGACTAAACGTGCAGAATTTAGGTTCCTTGCCCCTAAGACAACGTTGACAGGGGGCAGAAGGGTCAGAGGAAGGGACGCATCGCAGCTTCTGGGAGCGGCATCTGTCGCATGATGATCGCAATGACGTGGGTGGTGTATTATCATCTCTGGGCTGAACTGTGGACATGATAATGTCGGGGAGTGATGTAAGTCCAATTCTCCTTTCAAAAATGTGTGCATTGTATTCCATTTAAGCATGATGTATCTAAATAAGCAAGAAGCGGCAATGTATTACACATAGGCCGCCCACGCCCCTTGAAAGGGGGTCGTATAGCCCCCGCGCCTTTAAGCCCCAAGGCCCGTATGGCCCCGGCGTCTTGGGGGGGCTTGCATGGCCCCCGCTTCTTCGAGCGGCGGGAAGCTTACATGGCTAGTGGGGTTGCAGGACTGTGTTGAGTGTTTCATCGCACGTCGTCTGGTATGCGTTTCTTGCTGGCGGTTCTTGTGGAGCTCCACTTCCGACAAGCATTTACCGAAATTAAATAAAAAATCAATTGAGCACACCGCATCACGCGATATTACCAGGTATAACAGTGTCGCCCATGAAGTGGGCTCGGGGGTTTTCTGGATACCAGCGCCCGCGTTGTGGGTCGTGACCTCGGGAGTGCTCGCCCTAGCCCCCAACCAGAGTACACAACCCAGCTAAGCCACTAGCATTTCCCCAGAAGCTAAAATTTACGACCGGAGAAAGCATAAGATACAATGTCATTGATGGTGCTCCGTATGCACTTCAATGATATGTATTGTGATTGGCACCGCGGCGTACTTGCGTATTTTGAAACGGGCCTCCGGGATTGATCAGCTATGCAAGGGAGATTGGTGGAGTTGTTTTCATGGCTTACTCCGCCAATTCTTGGATGTAACGCTACATACTGGTACTATGTCTGTTAGTTGCTCAGGCGCCCCGGCGGACGACGGACGTACTAATCTTATTGCTTCATACTCGCTAGCCTAGAAAGGGGGGGGGGGGGGGGGGGGGAAAAAAAAAAAAAAAAAAAAACCCCCCCCCCCCCCCCCAGCCACCGGCCCACCGCCCCCCCCCCGCCCGTTGGAACACCCCGGGGGGGGAAAACGTTCGGTTCTCACCCGCTG